TTTTTTTTTCCTTTGTCTCAATCTGAGTAGATTCCACTGCTGGATTTTAGCGGATTTTAGAAAGGAAAACTCTGGATTATGAGCATTCTATGTGCACACTGCAAAGCCCCAACCTTTCTTATCTTCAACCAGGTCTTTTCCAACACAGGAGACCAAAGTTACATATTACACACACAAGATTTCAAAGGGATTTCATCAATCTGTAACTTGATTCTCCCATTGGTAATATTACCTTTCTCACAAGCAAAATTGATAATAATGACTATTATTAACCTAAATTTGTATATACTCCTTTTGAGATAAAAGCATTTTTGAAAAATGCTCCAAAGGTACTTACCCTCAGGGGGTTGTACTTGAGTTCTTTCTTTCTCAACTTCCTAGGAACGGTTTAATAACTTGGGAAGTCAATTTCTCTAACAGCTTTATAGCTTTACTAAATACAGCAGCCACCCTCTCTTTGAAAACCTCCCATTTTCTTTATCAGTTAAGAAATAGGAATCAGGTTACTGATAAGCTAAACCTGATGAACCCACTGTTAACAATTGTTAACTGCATTTTTCAGCACACTCTCCTCTATTTGAAAGATCATTGATGCAGTTCTATTTCCGATTTTCACTTTATCGCTATAGATGGTTACATTTTGTCTTAACCATATTTTGCCTTCCTCATGAGTTACTTTCTCAGCAAAACCTCCCCAATTCCATGTACGTGGCAGATCACTCACTTCCCTTAAAGCAAGTTGGTATTTTAACTTCCCTAGAGTCACGTTTCTAAGAACAACAGTGCCCATTTCTGCAGCAAGTTGCTTATTTGTGTTTGTTGTTGTTGCTGTTTTTTAGACAGTCTTGCTGTGTGGCCTGGCTGGAATGCAGTGACGCAATATCGACTCACTCTGCAGCAAGTTTTATAGTTGATCTCTCACTTTCAATGTTTCTGAAAACTTTGACACATCTTGTATGCTTAAGTGTACACCAGGCTGTGTGTGCAGTAATTCGGTACATGCTATCCCATGCAAGCCTCAGAGGCTGACAGGAGCCTCAGAGAGGTGAATTTCCTTACCCAAGGTAGCAGCCTGTACAAAGGAAAGCCAGAATCCAAAGTGTCTATACCTGGGTTTTTTCCACATGCCCCAGATGGCCGAACTCAGGTGATTGTAATAGAGATTTATGGACACGTGCTGCAATTAATTAGAATTCTGGATAAACTAACCTTAATTATCTATGCAATTTTTAAAAATATTGGTGACTTTCAAATAATCAGGATGGGCCATCTGCCAGAGTCCTCCCTAATATAGTAGAACATGAGATTTAGGAAGAACACAACCTAGTTTTCCTCCTCCCATCTGCTTGACTTTGGGCAAATTATCTCTCTTGTGTGAAGGATGATGTTGTCAATATTAATTGAATAACCTATGGAAGGTGTCACCCATATTAATGATAACTAGTGATTTTCTGTCCTATCATATACCCATCCTACCACACCCAGTAAAACTGTGTTTAAAAACAAACCTTCTGGTCGGGCATGGTAACTCATGCCTATAATCCCAGCACTGGGAGGCCAAGGTGGGCAGATCACTTGAGGCCAAGAGTTTCAGACCATCCTGCCCAACATGGTGAAAACTTGTTTCTATTAAAGTTACAAAAATTAGCTGGTTGTGATGGGGCATGCCTGTAATCCCAGCTACTCAGGAGGCTAAGGCACGAGAATTGCTTGAACCCAGGAGGCAAGTTTGCAGTGAGCCAAGATTGTGTCACTGCACTTACAGCCTGGGTGAGAGAGTGAGACTCTGTCTCAAAAAAAAAAAAAAAAAAAAAAAAAAAAAACCTTCAAAGTGTTTTTGAAAAAATGGAGAGATTCATAACATGTACCATATCTAAATATCATGTCTATGTCAACAGACTAAAAAAAGCTGTGTAGCACCTGACCTTCAACCTTCAACATCACTGAAGCTCATTTCGGTTTGTGTGCTGAACTAAGATGATGTCTTCTCTGTTTGAATACAACCTCACCTCTTCACCATCAACCCACAGACAAATGAACAGCTGTGTATACTCTCCTTTATTTGCAAATTTGTGTCAAGATCCTCATCCCACCAAGCGAGCTAGATCACCTCTTCTCCTTACCTAGGGTCATCATACACAAAAGATGAAAATCTACATCAAGGAGATAATGGTAGACTCATCTGCATGCTATGCAATCTTCATGTGGATTATGATTTCAAAGTTTCAGAAAAAGTCAATGTTTAGTTGAGAGTTAACAGAGGTTCTCAATTTGGGGTTTGTGAAATAGAAGTTATGTTAAAGCCATATGTTCGCCTGGAAGAAAAAAATAATTTTGGTTTTTATATTCTCTATCTTTCTCTCTCTCTGTCTCTGTCTCTGTCTCTCTCTCTCTCTCTCTCACACACACACACACACACACACACACACTTGCCCCTTCCTTTCCCATCCTTTTTTTGCTCACTAAGCAAAAAAAAAAAAAAAAAAAAAAAAAGTTTATTCAATGTAAAACGCATTTAGATTTTTCCTCATTTTAATAGGGTTCATATGTCCCCCACCAGCCTAGCAACTGGGTAGCTAGAAATTATGAGCTGTCAATAAAAAATACCTTTAATAGTTGTGGCAGGCAGCCTCCACGATGGCCCCATGATCTCTGCCTCCTGGTGTTCACACCCTTATGTAGTCCTTTTCCTCACTGTACCAGGTCAGGTCTATGTCATCAATATAATCTGGAATAAGTGACCACATGCCACTGCCAAGCCTAGATTATAAAAGGCATCCTATTTCTAGATCCTTGAGGAATCACCACACTGTCTTCCATAATGGTTGAACTAATTTACACTCCCACCAACAGTGTAAAAGTGTTCCTATTTCTCCACATCGTCTTCAGCATCTGTTGTCTCCAGATTTTTTTTTTTAATTTTTTTTTTTTTTGTATTTTTAGTAGAGACAGGGTTTCACCATGTTGACCAGGATGGTCTCGATCTCTTGACCTTGTGATCTGCCTGCCTCAGCCTCCCAAAGTGCTGGGATTACAGGCTTGAGCCACCGCGCCCGGCCGTCTCCAGATTTTTTTATGATCACTATTCTAAGTGGTATGAGATAGTATCTCAGTGTGGTTTTGATTTGCATTTCTCTAATGACCAGTGGTGATGAGCATTTTTTCATGTTTGTTGGCCATATGTATGTCTTCTTTTGAAAATGGTCTGTTCATATCCTTTGCCCACTTTTGAATGGCTTTGTTCATTTTTTTCTTGTAAATCTGCTTTAGTGCTTTGTAGATTCTGGATATTATTCCTTTGTCAGATGGGTAGAATGCAAAAATGTTTTCCCATTCTGTTGGTTACCCGTTCACTCTAATGATTGCTTCTTTCACTGTGCAGAAGCCAGAAATAGAAATTCCATTTGACCCAGCAATCCTGTTTCTGGATATATACCCAAAGGATTATAAATCGTTCTATTATAAAGACACATGCACATGCATGTTCTTTGCAGTGCTGTTTAGGATAGCAAAGACCTGGAACCAACCCAAATGCCCATCAATGATAGAATGGACAAAGAAAATGTGGCACATAAACACCATGGAATACTATGCAGCCAATAAAAAAAACGCCGAGTTCGTGTCCTTTGTAGGGACATGGAAGAATCTAAAAACCATCATTCTCAGCAAACTGACACAAGAACAGAAAACCAAACACCACATGTTTTCACTCATAGGTGGGTGATAAACAATGAGAACACTTGGGCACAGGGAAGAGAACAACATTCACCGGGCTAAGTGGAGGAAAGGAGGGACAGTTCAGGGACAGTGAGGATGGGGAGGGATAACACCGGGAGAAATGCCTGATGTTGGCGATGGGGCGAGGGGAAGGCGGTGGGTGGAGACAGCGAACCACCATAGCATGCATGTACTTATGCAACAATCCTGCAGCATGCAGGATGTGCACATGTACCCCAGAGCCCAAAGTACAATTAAAAAAAGAAAAAGAAAAAGGCATCCTGTGGTCATCTGGGACTCTCTCTCTTGAATCACCCACTCTGAGAGAAGCCATCTCAAGGGCAACCCCAGAGAGTGCTCCACAAGGACAGGTACTGAAGCCTCCTGCCAAGAGCCGCATGAATGAGCCTAGCAGCAAGTTCCTCAGATGCAGTGGAGTCTTCAAAGTTGACAAAGTGTGGTCAACAGCTTGACCACAACTTCATGAGAGACCCTGAGGCAGAACAGCCAAGCTAGGTCACTGTCAGATTCCTGACTCTCAGGAACTGGGTGAGATAATCAGGGTTTACTGTTTAAGCTGCTACATTTTAGAGTGATTTGTTATGGCACAATAGATCCCTAATAGTTGACAGAAAATGAACTTACACTATTTTCTTTGTGGATCTGACAACAAATATATACAAGTCAGGGGTACTTGCTAGTAAGAAATGACTTGATCTCCATGGGGGTTTTTTTTGTACTGTATTTCCCTTACAAAGTAGTCAAAAACTCAACTGCTACTCCTACTCAGAAGGCCTTTAGTGTCTGTGATGTCAGGAAGCCATTTCTTCTGCAACTCTGGAGTTTCTGTTATCAGAGGAAATGTCCAATCTTACAGATTGTTCCACAGATATTAAAAGCACCCTTTCCTTAGTCTGATTAGATAAAGCCTCTCCCTTCTACATGCTCATTCTGTTTATTCAACAGATCTTTATTCGTGGATCGGAAGGAAACACATTCATTTTGTCAAGAATGCAACATTTCACCACGCTGACCTCACAATCCTGGTCTTCCCCAAGTTACCACTGGTCAGCAGTGGCATCTGAGAGACCTCAGGGAGACAGGACCCTGTGAACCCTGAGGGGACACTCAGCGTTCTGCAGACAATAGCACTTGCCATCGCAAAGGCAAGATTTTGTGAGAACAAGCTGGGGGAGGACCCCTTTGGCAGCTGTCCACATCTTTGTGCAGACAAAGACTTGATCAGAAATGTTCTGACGATGCAAAGGAGAGCCGGTGCTGCCATGGAGCAATGCCATCACCACTGCGATGAGGTTGGTTTCAATGCTGAGGAAGCCCACAATATTGTCAAAGAGTGTGTAGATGGGGTTTTAAGTGGTGAAGATTATAATCACAACATTAACCAGTGGACTGCAAGCATAGTGGAACAATCCTTAACACATCTGGCTAAGTTGGGAAAAGCTTACAAAAATATTGTGACCTGTGCAGTGGTCCAGAAGAGTGTGTATGGCTTTCACACAGCCAGCTCCGGTTTTTGGGATACCACACCTGATGGAACCTGTACCATAAGATGGGAGAACCAGGCCATGAAATGTGTTGTAAACATTTTTACCATTGCTATTGTTCTTTAACTGACTAAAAATATTAGGCTACAGCCATTAACTTAAGAATTTGTCAGTGTATCCTTTCAAAAAAAGAGTAATAGTTATTTATTAGTGTGCTAGATGACAAGTGTGCAATATGCTTTAAAGCTATCAACAAAAACTGGATATTATAAGAGAGTAATATCATAGTAATTGGAAGATTATCTCATATTCTATAAAGCATCATTTAAATAGGAAAAATTTAATTGCAGCAAAAAATAAGTGCAGAAATATAGCATGACATGAAAACACAGCCTTACATTTGCACCAGCTTTTCACTAATAATTTGTACTTAAGGTGATGGGGAACTCCATTCAGATAATAAAAGCCTCTTTCAGCTAGAGAAGTTAACAGGAATAAATACATGAACAAAAAAGCTGTGGTGTTGGGAAAACTGGCTAGCCATATGCAGAAAGCTGAAACTGGATCCCTTCCTTACACCTTATACAAAAATTAACTCCCGATGGATTAAAGATTTAAACATAAGACCTAACATCATAAAAACACAGAAGAACACCTAGGAAATGCCATTCAGGACACTGGCATGGGCAAGGACTTCATGACTAAAACACCAAAAGAAATGGCAACAAAATCCAAAATAGACAATGGGATCTAATTAACCTAAAGAGCTTCTGCACAGCAAAAGAAACCATCATCTGAGTAAAGAGGCAACCTACAGAATGGGAGAAATTTTTTGCAATCTACCCATCTGACAAAGGGCTAATATCCAGAATCTACAAAGAATTTAAACAAATTTACAGAAAAACAAACAAACAAACAAACAACCCCATCAATAAGCGGGCAAAGGATATGAACAGACAGTTCTCAAAAGAAGACATTTATGCAACCAATAAACATATGAAAAAAAAACTCATCATCACTGGTCATTAGAGAAATGCAAATCAAAATGACATTGAGAAACCATCTCACACCAGTTAGAATGGCGATCATTAAAAAATCAGGAGACAACAGGTGATGGAGAGGATGTGGAGAAATAGGAACACTTTTACTCTTTTGGTGGGAGTGTAAACTAGTTCAACTATGTGGAAGACAGTGTAGTGACTCCTCAAGGATCTAGAAGTAGAAATACCATTTGACCCAGGAATCCCATTACTGGGTATATACCCAAAGGATTATAAATCATTCTATTATAAAAACAAATGCACACATATGTTTATTGTGGCACTGTTCACAATAGCAAAGACTTGGAACCAACCCAAATACCTATCAATGATAGATTGGATAAAGAAAATGTGGCACATATACACCATGGAATACTACACAGCCATAAAAATGATGTGTTCATGTCCTTTGCAGGGGCATGGATGAAGATGGAAACCAACATTCTCAGCAAACTGACACAAGAACAGAAAACCAAACACTGCATGTTCTCATTCATAAGTGGGTATTGAACAATGAGAACACATGGACAGGGATGAGAACATCACACACAGGGGACTGTCAAGGGGTGGGGGCTAAGGGAGGGATAGCATTAGGAGAAATACCTAATTTAGATGATGGGTTGATGGATGCAGCAAACCACCATGGCACATTTATACCTATGTAACAAACCTGCACGTTCTGCACATGTACTCCAGAACTTAAAGTATAATAATAATAAATGATAATAATAAGGTTAATGTCATCAAAAAAAGCTGCAAGGATAAATATGGAGAAAACGATGAGAATTAGCTAACATCTTTTAGTTTTCTAAACTTTCTTCCCCTCACTTAGTTGTACATAATATTTAGTGGAAAGTAATTCAGTTTTTAAAATTTTCTGTCAACTAATACTATAGTAACAACAAAGATTAACTTGTTTACTTTTTCTGAGAGTTAGTACATTGATTATTTTTATTTCAAATTTTTGGATTTACACTTGAGGGTGAATTAAATCTGGTAAACTAAACTTCCTAGTTAAACAAAATTAGTTACAGTGTATGATGAACAGTATATGATTCAAACAGCTGCCTTATAATTCACTTATTCCATGTGGAACAAACATTTACCAGATGGCTATTATGGGCATATTTCTCTGCTAAGCACTATAGTTATCAATGTGCTGTGCAAATGCTAAGTTCCTTTTAGCAATTGTTCAGTTGGAAGATAAGTATTAATATTTGGGGAAGGAAAAAAATAGTTGTTTTACAAAGGAGGTAAAAAGTGAATCTGGTTACACATATAGAAGTAAGCAAAATGAAAAGCACTATGCTTTCTGACAGAATTACAGATGTTATTTTAAGACTTGCTTCTAGCAAGTTAAAAGTGCATATAAAATATGCAACTCTAAAAGACCGTATTATCAGTCTTACCTGCACAAGTAGTAAATTTTGTCAACCATCTGTTACAACCATCTGTAAATAATTTTAAAGGCTGATTATGTGGGATTCAAACTGAGTAGAATAAAGTATCGATTAAAAGCATGGAATCATCAGCAGGTTATCTCAGGGCTTATGAAATGTAATTAAATGTATTAAGAAAATAGATGAAAAATTAGGGTACACAGCTGGCCACCAAATGCAAAGTCAGTCTCCTATATATCCTTGAAAACAAAATCAGTTTTGCATATTACCAGCAACTCTAATACGTATAAAGAGTGGGACCATAACTCATTAAATTTTGGGGAGGAATAAGCTTAGTGCTAATACTGATGATATTAAGGCAATATTCTTGTAGGAATACTGTGTGCATGTTTGTTATTTTGCCGAATAATGATAATTAATAATTGTTCAACATTTAAGAATAATATTAACAAAATACAGAAGTTTAATGCAGTGATCTTTGTTTCTGGCACATCAAAAGTTCTCAGTCACTATACATTTTCCTTTGTGTTGCTGGCTTTTGTGCCTTTGAAGATTATATTAGTGACCAAAACATATATGCAGACTTTCTTCTTATTATTGTCGTTGAAGCTGATTTAAGAAAAATAATAATAGTTCATACCTTGTGAACTTGCTATCTGCTCTATTTCTAGTTAAAATATAACAAATATTCCTGTGCTAAAAGAAAGAAAGAGAAAGAAGAAAAAGAAAGAAAGAAAGAAGAAAGAAAGAAAGAAAGAAAGAAAGAAAGAAAGAAAGAAAGAAAGAAAGAAAGAAAGAAAAAGAAAGAAAGAAAGGAAGAAAGAAAGAAAAGATAGAAAGGAAGGAAGAAAGAGAAAGAAAGGAAGAGTAAGGAAGGAATGTTCTGATAATGTGATGCCTGCAATGCCTTCCTGCTGTAGTGGCCTTGAACAAGAACTTTGCCTGATGACATGGTAAGAACATAAGAGGAAAATCTGATCTTATGTTCTCAGTATTTTCCCTGTGTGGTGGCTTTCATGCTTTGGTGTCTCAAATACCCTCTGGCCTCTCCCATTGTAAGAACATGAGAGGAAGGCTGATCTGTAGATCCTGTTCTCACTCTTTCCTCGTGCTGAAATGTTGAAATAAATGTCAACGTTTTCCTTCATGGTCAAATTTCTTCTAAAACTAGAACTCTAGAAACTTCTATCTGGGACTGATAAAAATTTAAAGATGTCCTTTGTTTTGCCGCAATTCCCTAGTCCTGTCAATATGTGTGACAGAATATCCTCTGAAATTGAGTCCAGATATTTTCAGTCATTCCAAGAAAATTTAGATTAGGAGGGGCCGGAGATTGGGAAAAGAGAAAAAAAGGTGATTTCGCAGGGACCACAGGCATGTATTTACAGGAAGGATTTTAGTCATCTACTTGAAATTGTTTTGCTTCAAGATTATATCCAGTTCTCTAGAAACTGATGACACATTTTTTAAAACAACAGTTATTTGCCAATGTACTTGTGTAATATGCAATGCATAGCATCTAACAGGCACTCCCCTTTAGTCTGAACCACACAGAATAGTGAGGCACAAAAGTCATTTCAAAATTACGGATTTGTATCAGTAATGCTCAGTGAATAAATTTTAAAATGTATGCAATACTACAAATGAAAAATTCTCATACCCTAATACTCAGAGATAATTATTGTCTAACATAGCCACATTTTTTCTGCTGGCCTTATTTCTTAGAGTTCATGTGAATATACTCTATTCTTTTTGGATAGAGTATATTCACACACAAAAAAAAGAAACAGGGTGGGAGGCGGCAGGGGAAGGACTGGGCCAGGGCAGGCTTGTAGGGATAGACTGTCTCCCTTGCCTCTCTCCCAGCAGAGCCTAAGCACTGTGCTATCCTGGAGGGGCTTTGGACCACCAGAAAGACCAAGGGCATAGGGAGGAGGAGGCTTCACCCATCAGCAATAAAGTTGATCGCAGGGTTTGCTTTTTTTTTTAATTATTGAAAATATATATATGTATATGTAAAAATATTATACATACACAACAGAAAATACAAAACTTCCCAAGAGACACAAAGGAAAATAAGTGAACGAAGAGTCATGTGACGTTTCTAGAGAAGACGCAGTAATAAGATTCATAATAAATTTTTGGGGAAGTTGACAAAATAATTCTAAAATTAGGCCTGGTGCAGTGGCTCAAGCCTGTAATCCCAGCACCTTGAGAGGCTGAGACAGGGAGATCACAAGGTCAGGAGTTCGAGAACTAAAAATACAAAAAATTAGCTGGGTGTGGTGGTGCTCTCCTGTAGTCCCAGCTCCTCGGGAGGCTGAGGCAGGAGAATTGCTTGAACTGCAGAAGGCGAAGTTTGCAGTGAGCCGAAATTATGCCACTGCATTCCAGCCTGGGCAACATAGTGAGACTCTGTCTCAAAAAAATAAATAAAAATAAATAAGTAAATAAATAAAATTCAAGTGAAGAATAAAGGAAAATGGCAAAGCTAACTTGTCATTAAGTGCCTGTGTGTGCCACACACTGGTTCCACCCACACAATCATCACAATAAACTTATAAGGACTACTGTTACACTTACTTTACAGATAAGAAAACTGAGCCATGATGAAGTGCATAAATTTGCTGGGTCACATTGCCAGTCAGCTAAGAAGCTGGAGTTTGGACCCAGGCACCAAGAAAGT